ATCTCAGTTAATTACTCTAAAAGGTAAAAGGGTAAAGGTTTCCCTTGCTCAAAAGCTAGTTGAATCCAACTCTAGGGGGTGGTGCTCATCTCCGTTCCCAAGCCAAAGAGCCAGCACTGTCCGAAGACTTATCCATGGTCATGTGGCTGGCATGACTCTTAGCATTCCACAATTAAGGATACTATTTTGATATATTTATTTGCTTGACTGTGTTTCCCCCTGTAATTAAATCCAAACAAATGGTGACCATATAAACTTAGCTTGTTATTCCTGTTTGGTCTTTGCATCTATTAAAATATTTTCATTATATTGTATGCTAATTTGCTGTTCACCCTCTGCCTATATGTATGGACTGTTAACTTCCATTTCAATGTAACTGAGGAAGTGTGTATGCACACGGAAGCTCATACATTGAATAAAATTTTGTTGGTCTTAATGGTGCCACTGGACTCAAACGTTGATCTAGAGCTCTGAGAAGTAGATTCTTAGGTATGTGAAGGGAAAACACATTTCCTCCAAATTTGTTATATGCATATTTTCAATTGTTTTACTTAGTTTGAAAAGTACTCTTGGATGTGAATTTTGGTGAAACTTTTGACACGCAAGTTAGCACCAAACTAAACATGAGACTGGAGGTCCATGACGGGGGCACTGTTGTTATGCATTGTTTGGTCCTATGTTTCAAGATTGTTATCTGATCAACATGAATGGGTTTGGCTTTAAGGAATGGTAATATCCTTTAATAATGGTAGGTGTTTTCTGAATGGGTGCTAGTTGTCAGGAGATGGCCTGCTGGTGGCTTGTTCAGTTACATATCAAAGATTAAGGAAGGTGTTTGTCCCATCTGGCATTCCCACCTACCCTCAGGCTTTATCCATGTGCTCCCAACTCAAGGCTTGTTTTACCCCACTCTCTTCTATTCATCTTCCTCCCCCTCTCTCTTCTGGAAAACACTGTTTTGGTTAAAGATAAGTATGTAGATGACTTAGAAGAAGAAATCCCCCAACAAAAAATGTGTGCAATAAACTATTTACACATCTTAAACATCTAAAGTAGTGTTTAGGTGCCAAAGTAATCTCTGTGTACAAGACTTCTTTGTGAAGTACATCTTTATTTAAGGAACCATTTTATTCGCTAATTCAGCCATCAGGGTATCATTTCCTCTAATACAGAATGTCATATTCAAATATTTCTTTCAAAAATCCATGAAGCTAAAATAATAACAGATGGCTAGCAGAACACAACTGGAATCTGCCTGGAGCTGTGGGATGATCATGGACTAAAGCTGGAATCCAGTGTAATTTCCTTCATATCCTAAACTATGGTAAAAACAGTGCTACTCGGTTTGGGTTTTTTAAAAAAATCTAACATTTTCTTTGCCATTTTGACTCACACACATTAAAACCTTGTTGATCTTCAAGGTGAGTTTCCTGCATACTTTGAAATGTTTTAATTAGATCACATTGGGGGGGGGGACCCCTCCAGCTATGCTATCAATGTCTGAGGGCTAGGGCAGGTAAGACTTAGACACTCTTGTAGGATTAGAAACTTACCGGTATACCTTAGAGGATGGATCTTGACAATGCCTTTTGCTTTTGTCATTCCCAAAATTTGGTTAATAAGTATAATCCTGCTAAACATTATCATACATAAATTCTCAAAAATCTCTATTTCTATCACTTAGGCCATTGTAATCTATTTTTATTCCTATGGTTTTATATTGCTGGCTAAGCGCCGTAACAATAAAATTCAAATTCTATTTCCATCTCAGTAAAAGGGATGGGGTAACATTGCCAAACTTTTTTTAGTAGTTGTATCATCGGTCAAGTTCAAAGTCTCAGTTATTCTAACATTTGCTGCAGTACAACACACACTGTACCTTGCCCTTTCACTGTGCTTCTGAGTGTACGGAACCAAGGCACTGAAAAAACCAGCAAAGTATATGTCATAGCTAGGCCTACAGGCATCCTGCATCTGTCCAGAAGTACCCCCAAGTTCCTGCCGCCTCTGCCACAAGTCAGTCAGTCATGTCACAAGTGTTTAATGGAGCATCATAGTAACACATTAGCCTCAGGGTGGGATGTATTCGTTCACTTTGGTGCTGGTTTGGGAGAATTTTAGACGGAACATTTTGAAGCTTGGTGAAGACAGTTTAAATAGACATTAAGCTGGAGTTTGCTAGCAGAACAAACCTAATGTAAACACTTAGAGCTCCTTTCTTGCACGCATGCAACTTCACAGCTGCAGGACTAATGTTTTTTGAACACATGAATCTACCTTATACTGAATCAAAGCATTAGTCTATCAAAGTCAGTATTGTCTACTCTGACTAGCAGCAGATCTCTAAGGTCTCTGGTAGAGATTTTGAGATCACCTACTACGTCAGCCTTTTAACTGAAAATTCCGGGGGCTGAACCTGGGACCGTCTGCATGCAAAGCAGATGCTGTGCCATTGAGCCACAACCCCACCCCATCTTTTGATGAGATACAGTGTACACAATAGTGGCACAGGGATGGTTGGTAATGGTGTCTGCCTGAGACTTGAATGTGATACTCTCTATCATCATAATGCTTTCTGCTTTACATAACATCTGACAAAAGGTGCTTTGACTCTCAAAAGCTTCTACCCCCAAAAATCTTGTTGGTCTATAAGGTACTACTGTACTAAAATCTAGCTGTTCTACTAGACCAGCACAGCTACCCTCTGAAACTGTAACGTACATGTAGATTCTGTTCTTATCATCTGCCACTCCACATACAGGACACATACGGGGGAAATAGCATATTATATTCAGAGGACAAGAAAGGACGAGTGTCATACTTTCTCCTGTCCTTCACTACATGCAAGACTGCCACTGAGATCAATGTGAACAAGCCATCTACATCTTAACAGAAGTATAAAAGTTGTCCGTCCAAATGACTTCTAATTCTTGCCAGGCTCCTAACATATTTGCTTATATATTTCTTCCTTCGAGATAGTGTTGGCTTACAAAATTAGTACAAAAACACTGTAATTAAGATATCCACTTACTAACTTCAGTTACTATGAACATACAAATTGAGGGTTTCTCTCTGACACTACAACTCAATGCAATTTCTACTCAACAAGAATGTAATGGAAAGAAACATTTTGCTAATGCCAAATGTGAATTGAGTACTATATATTTTAGATCTTGATATTTTTCCTTTTTTATATACAGTATTTGTGGGTTTAAGCTAGATGGAAGCACTTTATTATCTGATATTAAATGGGTTTTAAAGGATACTTCACTAAGTATAAAATTCTATTGTATGTGCCACCACTGACACTGGAAGCAAGCCACCTGAGCCCCAGGCAGAGCAAGTGCAAGAAACAGTAGAAACTTTCTCATCTTCCCCTCTGCTCTTGGGTGGGCAGGGCTGTGGCCAGTTGTGCCCCCCCCAGGGGAAGACCCAGGGCAGTTGCCCCTGTTGTCCATTGTCTAAGACCACCCTTGAGCTGTACATTGAGCACATTTAAACAGAAAACTTTGCTTTAGAACTTTAAATTCATTGCTGGTTCCCTGCTTGACTGAATGTCTCCCTCTGAACAGATTTATGCTGGAATCCTACAAAACTACATGGAAAGAACCAGGCCTGCATCCAAGTGCTAGTAAGTCACTTGCACTCTCTGTCTCTAACACACCACTGCTCTGGGATGGGTCAGCAGACATGGACACCACTGAATAAGAAACCCTGCCTGCTCAACTCCATTACCAGAGTAGGGAAAATGCAGTGAGGAAGTGGCTGGTTCATTGTGATCAGAGGAGTAATGCACAGCTAGCAAGAGAGGTAAGCACTCCAAGTTCCTTCATCCTCCAGTTCCTCTTTCACAGAAATGGAAAGCCCCTATCAGGAAGAAGGGAAGAGACAGCAAGCAGATTAGTAATCTTGACTTTCATGTGAGTTACCATTTCTAGAACACAGAGGGAAACAAAAGAACAGTGTTCTGACTGATGTCTGTTCAAATGGTGTAATCAGGCAGCATCTTTGGAAGGCTCTGGTTGATGGGCTTCCTGCTGGTATATTTGTTAAAGAAGATGCCCAATTTGACCACTCTCTGATGACACAATTGGGAAGAACTGTGCACACAGCAGAGGTGTTTTTCAAATTTCTATTGCAGCCACTTTATTTACTTATTTGAGCAGGAAAACCAATAGTAGACTACAAAGGACTTGCCTGTGAAAGAAACAATGTGAGACAATAGAAAAAATACATCTCCAAATGCACGTGGAATGCTAACCCACATACATAGCTTTATAAGACTGTACCATTTCACCATAGGTCATCACACTAGAATATCATTTCTTCACCTTTTCACATGTAACTTTTCAAATAAAAAAACTGTTAATACACAGTGAGTTTCAGAAAATATGGAAGGTTTTACCAAAATGCAGCTTGTAAAATGAGACCCTTTATTTAGTAAGAGGTAGGCAAGAAAGCAATCAGTTTCATTTCTCTGTATGCAAAAATAATTATTCCATTGCAGAAATTAGAATAAGCATCTTCAGTTCCATTCCGACAAAATATTTCAGTGCAATATTTACTGGGTTAACACATTGTTCCTGCTATACATAATATTCAACCCACCCCCTCTTAAAATAAGCTAAGAGGTGCTTCACTGATGACTGAGAGTAGGGGTCATTTCCTGCGGGAGCGCACAGGAGCGGAGCTCTGGCAGTAAGGAGCCCAGGGGGTGGGCACATGCAACAAGCCCTGCCCCCTGCTCCCAGCAGCCCTCAGTTGGGCCACAAGGAGCAAGAAGCAGCCAGGTAAGTTGCAGAGCCCCCCCCCCCGACCCACCTTCAGGTACAAGCTCTCCCTCCTCTGTGAGGACAGATCTGCACGTTCCCCCCCCCAATAGCTAGCAATCCAAAACAGTCCAGTGGAGCCTAAGTGGTGGGTGTTGCCTTCTGACACACTTCTGGTGATGTCAGGGGGTGTGGCATATGCAAATAAGTTACGCTAATAAGTTCCTGCACCTCTTTTTCTACAAAATGACCCGTGACTGAGAGCACATTTATTTAATTTTAAATACTGAATAAAACATGTATTTCTTTCAGATTTATGAAAAATAACATTCTTGAATTTACTTAATAGCCCATGTGTGGAAAAAAGCTTACAATCTGATCATTCTAGCCTTATAAATTAGAAGTGTTACAAATACAATCAATGTTTACACTAGCAAGTATTTTAAATGTTAGAATAGACACAACTACAACTTACATAGACATTTTATTTGTATTACTTTAATAGAAAGCCCAAACAAGATGGTAATCCTGATTTAGCAGTTATTTGTACACATGGAAGCTCACGCTCCCAAGGGTTTCCCCATTCCCTACTCACCATGGCATCTGAGACAGCACTGTGTACAATTTCTGTTGTGTACACAGAACCATCTCAGGAGCGTGAATTAAATAGGAAGACTTTGCTTGTGTAGGAGCTTTGTGTGAACACCTGAACCTTTGTGGAGCAAGGAAAAGGTTACACTGCAATGGCAGAACTCATGTTTTGCTTATAAAGGGACACAGTTTCTATCCTTGGCAGCTTCATCTACCAGTATTTCAGGTACCATGACTTCTCCTGAGATTCTGGAGAGGAGAATTATTGCTAAATTTAATGAAACTCTTATCTGAAATAATGGTTTCAAATTTCAACTGTTGAAAGAGTACCTTGGGTTTTTTTTAAATATACTGCCTGTAAATTTAGTTTTGTTTTATTAAAAGAACCTTCCAAACCCTTTGTTTTTAATAAAAATTATGTCATGAATCAAAAGCCTTATTTCCTCTTCACAATACCCTCTAAGTCTACTGGAAAAAGTCAGTAGACATCAGTGCAGGAAACAAAAAAAAACCCCACTTGATTCAAAATGTTTTATTAAAGCTTAAAATAAAACTAGGTAAATGATACTTTCTTTTCCCTGGAAAGTGCATGAAGATAATATCTTTTTAAATGAAATATTGCAGGTAGTAGAGAATCAGAATTCATGTTACAGTTTACTTAATATCAAAAGGAATTTAGATTACAGATCAGAGTAACATGCTGGGGACTCCTTAATAAAGTAGAAGAAAAGATCTAGGTTTTGCTTATTTGGTTTATCAGCTTAATCTTGAAAATATTGCCTATTACCAACAGAATGCTGTAAAGTGCTAACTTCCACTGTCAGTAATGGAAGATGAAAACCTAACCAGAGAATGACCTTTAGCAAACAATGGAATAGAGCCCAAGCTGTGTTTACATTTAGTCACTTGCTGGATTACAACCACCAATTTGGTTTTGCTTGTTCAATTTTTTTTTTTTTTTTTTTTTTGGGGGGGGGGTCACAAATTATTTCCATTTCCAAAGCATGTATTGGATAACTTGAAGTTTGAAATGTATTGAATGATACCTTGTAAAGATATATACTCCATTTTTTAAAATGTTATTCCTCTTCTTCATCCACAAAATAAAAGTGAATGCCAAATGACTTTTTTTTTCCTTCAGAAAGGTGGGGAGGGGGGGTTGAGGTGCAGCAATACACTACAAATTTTTGAGCAGCTCTATTTCTAATGAACTGAAATATTATTATTTTAGCTGTCTTCAAAGCTGGGAGAATAGTACAATGCACTTGCAGGGGTTGGTTCACTTATACTATACTTGCTTTTTCTTCTGGACAAGCCTAGAAGCTCTCCTACATAGATGGAAGGAACTCTACCAGATGAAGAAGTGTTAACGCTACCACTGAAGTGAAGTCTCAAGAGCATTTAAATGAACATTAAAGTTTTATCATGCAACTTGATTCCATCTGGAATATTGTGGGTTCTACTGGGAGCAGAGTCGTACTTCCTGTGGAAGGAGACAAAACTGTTAACAGAAATTCCATTAACATTAACCTTGATCTTGGCTTGTCTCTGAGTTGGCAGGAGCATCCTGCTCGCCTCCTGGCACACTAGAGGTTGCCCCCTCAGCAGGTGATTCTTCTGCCTTCTCTGATTCTGTAGATTCTGCACGTTCTTCACTCTGGACTTCAGATTTACCAGCCACTACTCCTTCAGTCTCTTCTGCAGCTGTACCTTTCGCCTCTTCATTTGTATCAGTGACTTCTTTTGTTTCCATTTCATCAGTGTCATCACTTTCTAAGGCTTCATTTAATACAACAGAGAAATTATGAAGCATGGCATGCAGTGCAGTAAGAACAAATAAAGATGGCAGATGCAATTGGCCATAGCTACTTTAAGATGACTACTAGTACTATGTCAGACTCTTACAAAACTGATTTGTTACTACATCATCACAATGGAATTAATTTGTGGCTTGAAGCAAAAATTACTATAAAGTACTTAACACAATAAGCAAAAACATGCTGTATTATTGGATGTGATTTAAGGAAGCAAAATTCACAGTACATTCCTAAACAGAGCTAACTCTTCAAAGTCCACTAAAGTCAGTGGTCTTAAAGGATGTAACATGGCTTAGGATTGCACTGTCAGAAGATAATGCATACAGATAATTACAAACACAAATGGAAATGATTCCACTGAAAACACTCAGTTCATATTCCTATTATATATGCCATGTTCAGAAACCCCTGTGTGGCACAGCATCACACTATAAATTTGTACATTAAAATGATTGTAGGTATTTGGTATAACAAGCCACATTATCAACTGGACCAAGAAAATATTCCTACTTATACAAGCACCATTTTACATCCTAAGCTCATATGCGTGCAAGGAAGTCTCCACTCACACCACTGGAGGGTACCATCCCACATATGTAACACTCTCTTTCTTTGAAGTGAATGTGGGTATATTTATATTAAAAGCTAGCCAATTTAGGTGCAGCACACAAAGGATTCCTTTTCTACTAAATCAACTGCCCGTCTTCTGGACAGAGACTCCCCACTTAGCAGAATGGAATTCTTCGATCCAACTCAATGCAAACAATAATCGCAAATATTGCACGACAGTATCACAATTCAGACAAATCTATTTGTGAGCCCAGTTAACCAATTGGTGAAATGTGATTGCATGTGTCATTTTGCAAGAAACAGTGAAGCTCACTCAAAAGTGCATAATACTTCAGCCTCCAAATGGGAAGAAACATTTTCAAATAAGGATTTTAAATATTCTAGATAAGAAGACATGCAAAGGAAGATTAAACAGAGCAGACACTACACCATACAGATGAAACAGTGCAGCACAAACTTTGTTAGTGTACATTCCTTCAGAGAACCTACTCAGGTGACAAACAAAGCAGGAAAGGAATTTGTGATTCACATGCAATACAAACAAACAATACATACAAAGAGACACTGTCAGGTTATAGAATGACTCTGTCCTCAAAAATTGTTACAAATTCATTATGCTATCATGTGAACTAGGCCTCTAAATATCATAATAGTTTGTGCAAAGAAGTTTTAAGGAAGTTTTAAACATCATTAGTTTTAAACAGTGAAAAAGTGAAGGAGGCATTATTGCTGTTTTGGTTTACATCAGTTAATAGTCTCATGCACCAGTACAGCAATACATTCTTAACTTTTGAGCAGATACAGTTGGCTGTTTAAAAATTCCAGCCTGCGTACTTGTAAATCTGAGGCCATAATACCTGACTGTGTCCCTCTCAAGAGAATGAATCTGTTTGGACAAAGAAGAGATTGACAAGCAAGATCAGTGTACAGTATGCTTTATTGGACAGTCAAATTATGAGTGCATTCATTCA